CCCCTGCATCGGCAGGCGGACTCTCAACCACTGCGCCACCAGGGAAGCCCTTGACTATTTTTGTCAGTGTTTTGAATGGCTGTTTCCACTCTCCTGTGAATAGAATGATAGAAAAGTGTTTCAGAGTTGTGCCTAAAACCACAGTGAAAGGACGGCGAGTGAGGCTTCGCAGGCTTCTCCCAGGAGAACACACGCCGCGTGTGGCCGGGGACTCAGCCCAGAGGCTGCCAGCTTCCTGGCCTAGCAGGGGTGAGCCCCTCCCTAGAGTGTCCCTAAAGGACACTTTCTGTCCTGCAAAGGTGAAGCCTAACAGTGCATGGGAAAGGGCCCCCCAACAATGTGACAATGAAGGTGCCAAGAGCGAGGTCCACGGGGGCCTTGCGGGCTTAACGGCCATCCCCACAGTCATCCTCGGCTGCATGGCCAAGGTCCCTTGATTTGTCAGACAGTGACGTGGAGTCTCGTGCCCCCCACTGCGGACACAGGAAGCACGCACCAGGCTCACCGCCCAGGGACCCAGGTCCAGAAATCTTCCCAGCAGGTCCAGGGCTCTCAGCCGGTGCACTTGGCTCAGCAGCACCTGGAAGGGAGAAGAGGCGGTGTCACCGCAACATCCCCTGCTCCGCAACACAGAGCCAGGATGAGCATCCCCAGGGGCTGTCCTCCCAGATCAGCAGGTGGCCCTTTCTCTATGGCTCATGCTTTACACAGGCTGGGAATGCTCCATTTCTTCATGAACAGATAAACTATGTGCACGCTGTAGGAACTAATAGAACAGACACTTTATAACCTCATTTAAGAAAATATCCACTGATGACACTGGTCTATCCACTTCCAGACACTGTTCTCTATGTACAACGTCCCCTGTTTGTTCTAAATTCGATAAGATACTATTGTGTTTCTCATCTCCTTGCTGACTAAATGATACACCCTCACTCTCACTCCACATAGCTAGATACATCTGACCATTATGGCTGCCAACGGCAGCACTGAACTTTTCTGTAAATGTGCATAATTCATTTAAACAATCTCCCCATTGCTAGATACTTAAATTATTGTCAAATTTTTGCTATTGTAAACAATGCTGTGATAAAAATTCGACCAGGTAGATCTCTGCACATTTACGTTTTTTTCCCCTTCCCCTAGGATAAACTTGAGAAGTAAAATTACAGGGTCAGAGCATACACACTTATATCACCAGATTGCCCTCCAGCTGAACCAACTTGCCCACCAAGCCTTGGCTGAATACCGGGCACCAGGACATGTTTGCTCCGGTGCTCACTGGCTACTTGGCCTTGGGAAAATAACTTCTCTGAACCTTAATTTCCTAATTCATAACACAAGACCCACCCACAAGAGTTCTATTAAATATCAAACTAAAAGCTACCAGCAAAATATTAGCCCACGTTACACTATTATTTCCCAACATGATAGGTAATAATAAAATGCTCTTTTAATCTGAATTTCTTTGATTACAAGTGAGGTTAAATATTTTTTCATAGGTTAATAGGCTATTTCTCTAGTAAACTGGCCATGCATGTCCTTATTTTCCTACTTAAATGTTTGGCTCTTTCTTTTTGATATGAAAGGATGTTTTGTAAATTAAAAACAGCGACCTCTGCCACATATTTTTCTCTTTCGTCCTGTGTTATATCAAAGCTTTAAACTTTAATGGAGTCATTTATATTGAGATTCCCTCACGATGTTTACCCAGAGGTCACATGAACAGACCACTTACTGTGCGTGGGTGTGGTGCTGGGTGCAACTGGGAACAGCAGGACCCCTCCCATCACCACCTGGCACAGACACAGACATTCTGCAGCCACACTGCAATAACCATCGAACAGACAACTGGGGGCCACTCCCTACTCTGGGGGTCTGAAAGCTCTCCCTCCCAGTGGGTGACGTGTGGGGTTTCTAGGTTCCAGGCAGAGGGGCTGGGAAAGTGTGGGCCTTCCCCAAGGAAGGGCAGGTGGCCAGTCTGATGGGGGAGGCTCCAGAACCAGCCGGACCTGCAGACCAAGCTAAGGGCTTCAGCTTTTCCTAAGAAGAGCAGCAGAGGGACCCGTCCAATGTGCTTGCTGCGGGCAATAGGCTGGCAGGAAGATGGATGGAGGGGTGGGATGGGTGGACTTGACCGTGGCCATGACCGATGGGGAGAAACAGACTCCAAGACAGCTGGCGGGCGTGACCGACAAAGCCTGCTGGAGGAGGGGGAATAGGGGTCAGTGAAAGGAGCCGCTGGAAGAGAAGATTTGGAATGAGGCAAGAGGAAAGAACAGATGGACAGGCCAGCCAGCCCGGGGTGGTCTGCAAGGGGGAAGCTGGGTAGAGAGACCAGCAAGGGAGGTGGGAGAGAAGGCGGGGAGGTTTTAACTGTGTACCTGCTCCCGGGAGGTGAGGATCAGTAGTGGGACTCGTGAAGAGGACCCTCTGGCTGCAGGGATGTGGACTGTGGTGTCGGAACTGAACAGGGGTGAGGAAATGGCGCAGCCAGAGCAGTGGTTCAAGGGGCTACCCTCTGAGGGGTGAATACGGGCTGGCGGGAGGAGGGTGGGGAGCAGGGAGGATCACCAGGTGGGGGACAGAGGAGGTGGCAGGAGGTGCTGGAGGGAGTGGAAAGTGGGGAGGGGGTCCCGGCAGCACGAGGCTCCTGAGGAGGGGTTCCCGGGTGGAGGGGGGAGGCTGGGGAGCTTCCCCAGGTGGACGCGCGGCCCGTGGCTGCAGAGGAGGCGAGAGCGTGTGTTCCCAGCCTGCGGGCAGCCCAGGGGTCAGGGAAGCAGAGGTGGCTGGGTTCAGCTGCTGGAATGTCATTTCCCACTGGTTTGGAGCCTGTTTCCACATCGCTATTTCGAGACGGATGATCGAGTGGTTCATTTTATGTTTGGAGAAGTTGAGGTTCTCCAATCAAGAAGCTGGGAGAGGTTATGTGGGGCTGCTCACAGGGGCCTATCTGAACGGGGCCTGATCCCTTTCCCATGTTTAACTCATGGGTTATCTCGTGCCACTGCAGCGGAAAGACAGACCTGGAGGGCAAGGTTAGACGGCTGAAAGGCATGGGCTTTGGAGTCAAGCTGACCTGACTATCTCACTTCCTCACAGTGTGGCTTAAATCACAACCTCTGGACACTTCAGTTTCCTCATCAAGAAGAGTAGAGATAACATGTGACTTGGGCTTATTTTCAGAATCAAATGAGATGCAGCCTGTCTGGTACAACGCGGTCTGGTATGAGGGGTGTGATTAATGTTAGTCTCGGTGTCAGCATCCATCTACAGGATGTCTCCATCTCTCAGAAGCGATTTGATTGACTATTTATTTATTTATTGCTGTGCTGTGCAGCTTGTGAGATCTTAGTTCCACCACCAGGGATTGAACCTGGGCCCTGGCAGTGAAAGCGCCGAGTCCTAACCACTGGACCACCAAGGAATTCCTTATTTTTTTTTTTTTAACATCTTTATTGGAGTATAATTGCTATAAAATGGTGTGTTAGTTTCTGCTTTATAACAAAGTGAATCAGTTATACATATATGTATGTTCCCATATCTCTTCCCTCTTGAGTCTCCCTCCCTCCCACCCTCCCTATCCCACCCCTCTAGGTGGTCACAAGCCACCAAGCTGATCTCCCTGTGCTATGTGGCTGCTTTCCACTAGCTATCTATTTTACGTTTGGTAGTGTATATATGTCCATGCCACTCTCTCACTTTGTCACAGCTTCCCCTTCCCCTTCCCCATATCCTCAAGTCCATTCTCTAGTAGGTCTGTGTCTTTATTCCCATCTTACCCCTAGGTTCTTCATGACCTTTTTTTTTTTTCCTTAGATTCCATATATATGTGTTAGCATACGGTATTTGTTTTTCCCTATTTGTTTTGAAAGAAAACGGAACTGCTGGAGGTTCAAGTCTCTAGAGATCCAGGGCGAGCAGAACCTTCCATTTACTAGGTTTGTGAAAGCAGGCGTAATTCCTCAAAAATCAAAGACATCAAACACATCTAACACTTGTAAAGATTCTATTTACTGATTCCCTTTGTTATTTAAAACACTGTCAACGTGAATAAAACTCTGTGTTTTCAAGTAAATAGCAGAGCACTTTGCAGTGGAAGAAATGGCAACTTGGGCCAAGAAACCTAACCACGCGTAGTTCGCATTGTTTGTTTCTCATGTGCACCGACCAGCAGTAAGAGGTCTCCATTACAACGTCTTATTTACAGATGGCAAAAGTAAAAGGGAAACCATCACCATCACTACTGCAATGAGATCTTTCCTGACTCTGTTGTCCGTGTTGACGAAACACACATTAAAGCATCAATAGACAGCCCACTTGTCTCAGAGACTCAAGACCCTCAGCAATGCAGGGTTTTGTGCTGTGGGTATTGATGTTTCATTGGAAAATAAACAGCATCAATAACAAGTCCTAGGGAAAATGTCAAGTATTGGTTTTTCTAAACGTTACTGCTTCCTGTGATTCCTTCTGTTGATTTACTTTTTAAAAATATTGAGGCCCACCATAAATTAAAATTACTTTTTTAAAAAAGGACTGGCTTTTGTTTGTTTGTATTTGTACTTGAAAAAACAAAAATTCCTGTTTCAGTGTGCCTCAGGCCCCGGGGAAAATACAGAGATAAACGCTGGTGAACTAAATGAGTTACTGGGATTTCTTTCTGTCTGTGGCAACCCAAACTGCAGATTAATAATGGAGATACGAATACCCAAACTAAAACAGAGCTGCTAGGGCGACAACCTTTCATTTGCCTTGTGCACAAAAAACGCACTCAGGCTCCTGCGCTGAGACTGCTGGATAGAGCTGCTTCTTAAAAAACCAGTTTCTCAAGCTCCAGTCCTGGCCTGGTGGACCCAGGAATCTGATGATCAGAGATTCTGGAGCCACCGATGAATATAATCTGTGTAATAATAACATCCCAGTTATTATCCTGATGCCACCTAATAATAATCCTGTACTTTCAGACCAAAAATTCTACTTGTAAATAAAATGATGGCATGAAAGCAAAAAGGGTTTCCTAATGAAATGCCCACACTGACTTGTAGTATCTGCATAGAGGTACTAACACAGAACCCTGTAAAATTTCTCTCTTCCCTCTCTTTTTCCACAACATTGATTCCTCCTTCTCTGCCTGGGGCTTCTTGCACATGGGCCACTGAGGGAGTGCAGACAGTAATGCTGAGTCCAGGCAGGGCCACCAGACCACGAGACCACGGGGCCAGGCCTTGCAGTGTGGCAGGGCTCAAGAATCTTCCTTCCCATCCTTTCTGCTGATTTGTATTTTTAAAAGGTGAAAAAGGACATCAGGACTGGTCAGGAAAAGCGTACGTTCATGCTTACATCTACACGAGAGGCTGCAAAACAGCCCGAGGAGACAGTTCATTTTACCCCGATGATCCTCAGTTAATGCCTCTGAGTTTTCGGAGGGAGAAAACGCTCTCTGGCAGTGGAAAAAGTAGCAGGGATTGGAAAAGCTGTGACGTCTCTGTATCAAAATTCTCTTTCCC